TTAATTCTAGCTTTGTACATTCTAAGTCTGCAATATATTGAAATGTGAGTATCCAGCATTTATCTGGCAAAATATCAGGGTTTATTCAGAGTTGTAGAATTGTTTTTTTTACTGCTTTGAAGCCACAAAAGAGCAGCATTGTCCAAATTATAATAAGGTTAACTGAATAATCATCATTGAACAAACACCAGCAAGGATCTGGTTTGAAATGTATACCAATTAGTTTGCCCAGCATTGTACAGACATGAGTCCTGAAGTTGTGGATAACTGGACATTCCCAAAACATATGAAACACAGTGCTTACAGTTAGTTAGTCTGACATAAAGTACATATTGGTCTTGTATTTGGTCTATATTTTACAGTGTTTTAACAGGTTATAAGTTGCTTTGGATAAAGGTTAATTACGAGGATATTACGTTGTATTTTGCAGCAGTTCCCACAGCTCCCAGCAGCTGGAGTCTGGACAGCGGGACCCGGGAGGCCCTGCCCTTCCTGTCAGCCCATGTGGGGAGTCACATGGTGCCACCAGTCCCCCCGCGTAGCGTTCCTCCTGGTAAGATCCTCAGCCCAAGCAGCCCAGGACAGCTGGCGTGGGCTACTCTCCTCACCTGCTTTTACTGGAAGTGGTTTAAGCCTAACTCTGTGGCTTTTACATTCTTCACAGTACGTCAGTCTTATCTTTTACACTGCACGGCCCAACACCTTCCTACAATCTCAACACGTCAGCGGGTGTGTTCAGCAGTCTGTGTAAAACAGGAGTCAGTTCTGAATTGAATTGATTGGACCTGGATCTTAGCTGCTTTCGCCTTAACCTTGTACCAAGTTGGATGACACCTCATGCCTTTCAACTTTGAAAAAACAACTTGCTCACCACTCGGGTCTCCTCACTTGTTATTTTAAACATTTTAAAATGGCCAGAAGCATCCCAAAAAACATAAGAGTAATGGGGATATGATATATATATATATAATATTGTAAAATTTCATAAAATGATGGGACATTCTATTTGTAATAGCAAGAAACATACATACTAAAGAGTTGATTCAATGCAAGATACTGATCTGTAGTTGATTTGACCTTATATAATGGTAGTCCCTTTAGGCTTCTCACAGTGCAGACCTCCCTGTTGTGTGGTAGCTCCCTGTGTTGTGTCCACTCTTCTTTCAACTGGGCAGTTGGGAGGACTCTCATTCTGTGCTCACCTGCCACAGTCCTTTTCCGCTGTCCCCCTTAGCTGATGGCACTCATTACCGACAGATCATTAAAGGTCCTTCTCCAGAGTTTGTTAGTTTGTGTTTTTTTTCCAATCCTTGTTTTGTCCTGCTGTGTTTTCCCCCTTTAGGGCACTTCTCGATGCACTTTGATGCTTTCCACCACCAGATCAGCGATCTCCCTCCAGCTCTCCCCGCGCGCTCTTTAAGAAAGGTACCCTCTCTCATGCAGTGACACCCTTGTGCAGACCCCCGCTGTCCTGTCAGATCATCACTTACCTGCTCTCACATGTGCCCAGTGCTTGACAGATGACGTCACATTTCAGTAGCTTTACTCATGCTTTAATGTACCTGATATCATCAGTAGAGCAAAATGAGTTTCTTTTTTGATACTTAGTGTTTTGGGACGTTACTCAACGTCAGCAATGACAGGGGCAATGCAAAACCACTTTTGCTGCCACTATAAGCTACTATTTTCACGTCTTTATTCATTATGATACAGTATTAAGTTATAAAGATCAGATATTTAATGTCAGCGGGACTACAAATACACAGCTTCAGGATGGTAAATCTGTCGATGTTTTCATGAAAAACAACAGTCAGATGCCAGTGTTAAAGGCAATCCAGTTTATTGAAATGAACCGTAGGAGAACTGGGTGTCACTCAGGCAGTTTCAAGAATAAGAAACAGGTTTTCTTGAATCACCTTTGATGAACAAGGAGAGGAACAGCAGTTTTAGAAAGAATATTTACATAAGATTTGTTCCAAGAATACGTAAATGGACCAATAACCAATTAAATCCCAGGGAACTGTAAAAAACTGAAGAAAATGCAGAAAAGAATGGCTATGAATGGTTAATTTTCTGGGAAGAATATTTTTTTTGAGACCACTAAAGCAGAGTTGTCACATGGAGGTAGTGCATTAAACCCATGAGAAAATAGAAAAACAGCCATATAGAATAAACATACTGCAACATACTGGCACTGTAGTGGCTTTCATACACTAAAGAGAAAAACAGCAGTGTTGGGTTTTTTATGTTGTTTCCATTTTTTTCTGTTTATGGTTTTGGCAATTAACAATTACAAGAAAGCAGCTGCTTCTCTCTCCTGTTTTGTTAATGTGGTACCTTACATTCTGTTTTGTGTTGCTCACAGATCTCTGAATGTCTTGTTTCAGCCCATCCACATTCTTTGCCCATTCTTTGTAGGTGGTGTAACCACCTGCTTTTAAAAAAAATAAAATCCCTATGCAGGAATCTCAACCTTGTATTGGCCAAAGTAAAAAATGAGCAATATGCAGTATCTTGGTTTGCATTTTTTCACTAGGTACTGGCATTCAGTCAAGTGACTCTCTTTCTAGTGCTAGTGTTTTGATGTCATTCTGCTTTAAATTTGCCTCCCTGTTAGCTGTGTAACACTTATATTTGAACCACTGTTGTTTCTCCATGAATAAAATTCCCTTTTCCAAAGTTTTAAAATATTAGGATCAACACTGAGAGAGGGAAGATGTTTTTTTTTTATTTTTCTTCTTTTCCTTTGCCCTCCAATTATACCCTGTTGAGCCATCCCCTACAGACAGTCATTTTTAATTGGATAAGAGAGGCTTAATAGTGATATATTAAACACCATTACCATACATACAATTAATATTTTCTGTTTTTATAACCCAAGTCTTTTAAAAATATATTTAACATACAATCTAAAATTGGCAAAATACGGACCTGGCTTTAGACATACACCTTAAGTAGCATTGGTACTGTATATAAAAGTTGTAAGTCTGGCATTAGATGCATTCTAAATGTTACTGACACTCATACAGTATACTTTGCAAAAAGATGATGCAGACTACAGGAGAAATGATGTTTTAAAACTGGTTTTGTATATCTGAGTAAATATGTTGTTCAAAATGTAATGCAACAAATATTATAAGGCCTTCAAAACATTATTTAAAAGAGACATGAAAAGAAACAAACTGACTTGCATATAATTGTCCATTTTATCACCAGGGGTAGAGAGGAGCTTTCATTTGTAATAGGATTGATTGAAGATGATTGGCTATTTTTTGTGTTTTTAATGTCTTATAGTCTCCCTTGCACCCCATACCTGCCTCACCCACCAGCCCACAGTCCGGCCTGGATGGCAGTAATTCTACTTTGTCTGGTAGCGCCAGCAGCGGCGTGTCCTCCCTGAGTGAGAGCAACTTCGGCCAGTCCTCGGAGCCACCTGCCCGTACTGACACTCTGGATTCAGTGCCCAGCCAGGCCTGGACCACCGACGAGGATGTGGAGTCACCCTACCTGCCCGTCCGCTACAGCATCTCTGAGCCCGACGTCCTCGAGTCCATCAAGCCCCCCCCTTGCCGCAGCCATTCCGCGCCCGGTGGTGTCAACCCCCAGGAGGGCCATCACCACCACCACGATCCTCCAGCACTGCCCCCCAAGCCCTACCTAAGAGAGGGGTGCATCCCCGAGGAGGACATTCGGCCCAGGCCCATGCCCCGCAAGATCTCCCAGCCTCTCCTCACCAACAAGGAGGAGCAGGCCAAGGTGGCCTGGGAGCACGGCATTAGTGAGGAGTAGGCCTGTAGGTTTGTATACGTATGGGGGTTAGAGAGGAAGTTTCCGATGGTGATGGATTTCCTCGGTCCTGCGCTCACACCTTCACGTTTTGGAGAGCTCGCCAGAATCCTTCAAGCACTCTGGCACAATTATGTTGTAAGTTAGGCTCTTCGAGAAATTCACTAGGCCTATTGATCCCAGAAGGCCACCTAAATTATTTTTTTGGAAGAGATAAATATGTTTTCTTGTAAAAAAAAAAAGTCAGGTGAATGTCTCCAGTTTTGGATTCAAGTTTTTAATTTGGTTATTTTTTCTTTCTTAGAAAAAAAACTGTGCATTGGATTAAACGGATTAAGTGGCTTAGTGAATTTGATAAGAAATCAACATCTGTGTTCTTCAGTGATCTGATTGGCTATCTATTATTTGGTGCTTACTTCAGAACTTGGAATGAGGATATAGAAAGTAACTCAGTGTTATTTTTAAGTGTCAAAATTGAATCATTTAAAAAAAAGTCAAAGATCAACTACATTGTATATTTTAATTTGGTCTCGAAAAGATGAAAGCTGTCACCAATGTAATATCCTGAAGGGTCAAAGATTTGTCATTAATGGTTTGGAACTGCAAGCACTGAGTAATCAATTATCAGTCTCTTATATTCTGTGCAGTTGATCAAAAAATACAATAATGTCATGAATGAAAGGAACTGTGAAATGTTAAAATATTGAATGTTTCTTTTGAGAGTGATTCCGAGGGCAGTTATGTGAGGGAATACAAAACAAAGGGCTACCTTGGTTACGTCTTCATAACCAAGATAGCTTTTTTTTGATAGCTAAAGAAAACAGATATTGATATTGTAACGCATACGGCCACCATTGCAGGTTGTGCGAGCTGGCTTACCAGCGCGGTGACGTCGCCGCCCTTCCCTGTGAATAGCTGCCGGGCTGAGGGGAGATTTCCCTTTAGCTCAAGTGGCCAGGTCCCTGTTGAGTGACGCCGGAGTCCCGGCTTCGGTGGGGGGCCGACCTGAGGCGGCAGGGCAAGAGCGCATACCCACGTGAACCCCGAAGCGCTACGATATGTTAGCTGCCATTTAGTTTCCACATGTTCTGTTCTGGAGATCTGCACTTTAAGCACTTCATTCTGGAACACCAAAAAATCTTCTTGACAGTTATTTTTTTATTCAGTATATTTGAAGCAACAAGACAATGAATGTGAATAAGCCCATGAAATATAATTATATAAAGACAATAGGAAGATCATGATTTAATTCTTGCGTTTAAAGAAACATTTCTGAAACATGTTCCTCTATGAGAAATTTCAATTACCTCATCTTTCAAGAACACAAATCCAGTGATATGTTGCATACGCTCTGAAGTGCATATGTAAAATAATGTACTCTTAGACGTTATAAGAGAATAAGCTCACCCGCTGATGTCTATTTTCTTTACAATAAATTTAAATTACAGTATTGTTAAGTATTCACATGCATGCCAAAATGGCGGTAAGATTGTGACATTGATGTCATTCAGGCAGAAGTGCTAAAAACTTTGCTTTTCTTAAATATATTTAGAAAATGTTTTTCATTTAAGCAGGCAATTTTATTTTATTTTGAAAGATTGGAACAAGATAAATGAATTCCATTTACCTAACATATCTGACAATGAAATGTAGGTCTTAAGACACCATAGGTGAGTGACAATTTCCAACTCTATTTTGTATTGTGTTGACAATTATAAAATGTACATTTTGAGATTCTTAGAGGACATCTCTTCAGAAGTGTCATCTCCTCACTCAAAACTAAGCAGTTTCCAGAATTTGATTATCATGACTTATAGCTTCTTACTGCCATGCTGCAAAACAAGAGATTATCCCACCACCAAAGGTGTTTTACATAATTTAATAGCACTACATTTAAGGGATACTTTTAAGTAAAATATAAAAAGAGGCTTTATGGTTAGATTCCCTTGTATATTAGCAAGTTGGTGTTCTTTTTTTATGGTGACAAGGGGGTATCTCTTTGTTGGTGATGCATAAAAGTAATGGTATATTTTTTGTAATACAATTACAAATCTAGGCATCCACAGGAAAAGAAATATATGTATACCAGGGACTGAGGAGGATGTATGGTTTATGCAAGACTTAAGACAACCCTTTTAAGCTGCTACAGTATAAAGGTACACTGATAAGGTACACTGGCTTAAGGCAAAAGGTACTTTGTGAATGAATTTCATTTAAGGAATAAGAAATATATACTGCCGTAAATATCTTTTTTTTTCTATTTTTTGTATAATGATTTTGTGAGCATGCATTTTTTTTCTGTTTGTGCAAAAATGTGACTAATGCCCTCCACACCCATCTATGGTTTTCCTGTCCAGCACAACGTACTGAGGTTTAAGGGAAAGAATTATGAAGAAATACAAATTTTGATATTCTGTCTGTGTTCATTACACATTTTTTAACTGTTAAATATTGATAAGAGATACTCTGGGCAAATGCCATTCAGTAACAACAGACCATCTGATTTACATCTTGGAGGAAGGACTTATGTCATTCATAAATCTGCTAATGCTATGAACTGCTGCTTGATGCCATTAAGCTCTTTAAATGAACTTTTAAATACTAATTACTCATCATGCTTCCTTCAGTGTTTGTTAAGGTGGCGTGTTGTGCAAGTGGCTATGCATATTCATTGACAGTACAGGGGAATAATGTTTCTCCATCAACAATATGACAAGGCCACATCTTCAGGCGCTGTATGACACATGTTTTTTACAGGCCTGTGGTTTGTGTAAATATTTTTCCTGATATATACAGTATATAAGAAACATTTTTTTTTCAAAGGAGGAGTGATTATTTATTATGTGAAGATGAAAAGTTAACTTTGAATGGATGATAAGTCTTAAGACTACTTTGGGGGCTTTATTCTAGCTTTGAAAAGCTATTGAAATTTCACTTGTTCTAGGGTTTGTGTACCTGTGTCATCTGAAGATGTCAGAGCAATATTTTTCTACAGTTCAGAATTTCAATATTTGTGGCCCATTTTTTGCTAGCAAATTTTGGTCAGATTCGAGGGCACAGGATACTGATATTTTTTGAAGGTGGTGTATATACCATAATGTCTGTATAAGAAGGGTTAAAATTGGCTTGAACAGATGTTCTTTATATTAATTTTTACCCTACATTACAAAACAGTGGAAATCCCTAGTTGTATGCTTCTTCTCCAACTGAACACTTGAAGATTCAACAGTTTGTAAAAGGCAAGCAATTGAATATGATATGTACATCTGTAACTTCAGTTCAGTAAAATCAGTGGTATATGTTAAATGTCAGAGTCCATTATATTTCAGAGCTGTATTTTTAAATGCATTATTCAGTCTTGAAGGCTTTAATGATATTAATAACAAACATCAATATTAAATAAAGATTTATTGAAGGGCTGTTTAATATATTGGGATGCTTAGGAACAACCACCTCCTTCCCACATGTACCTAACTATACAGATTTTCAATATAAAAGTACATTTTCTCTGGCAACAAATTTAGTCACAAGCTGGCTAAGATTAAGAGACAAACTGAAGTCTTAATAGATCACTTAAACATACCTTATAACAGTAATCATAATGAATTGATGCACATCTTATTTATTTATCAGAAGCATGTAGACAATTCACAAATTTCTAGTGCTTTTAACAATATCTTCCTTCATCAGTTCTAAAAGGAGAGGATAGACTGAATAGGGACTCTACAGGGGGCCGAGAAAAGTTGAATGATGATAGATTACAGTAAAAGAGGGTAGAAACACTTTGAGCTGTTCTTTAGAGGAAAACTAATAGGGCTTGCTACTCAAAATGTTGTATTTAGTTTTTTTAAGTATGTTTTCCATTGTTAAAATATTAGCCCTAGAATTAGATGTATACATTTTGCTTTTAATATATTTTCATTTGTATGAAAAAAATAATTTTGAATACAAAAAACATTTTAATCCTGATTGTTAGTTTTTCTGTTTGTTTTTGTATCATTGCTTGAGTTAAGCTTTATACCTTGTGCTCACCATTATTTCTAAAGAAGATAGTACTGAATGAAGTGAAGAGTGATGTAATTTTTAAAAGTGTGCTAATGTCAGTTGAGTCAACAAATGCGAGCAGGCTATGATGTTCTTTTACAAATATGGACCCATCAACAATAACAAGTATAGGGATAGAAAATCTTTTCCACATAATCTTTCTTATTTCCCCTTAAAATGTTAATTTCAAGTAGCTGATGACATACATACTGTATTTCTCGTACTTGAAACAGCATTTGCTTGCAGAATTGGTAAAATATAATACAAAAACAGGAAATTAATTTGTTTGCATTGATTGCATTGTATCTAGTTGAACCCCTTTTAGGAACATGTCTCAGGAGAACTTTACCTGTTTTACAGGTTTTGTGAAAAAAATAGTTTTTTGTTCAAGATTCTATAACTATTACCAAGACATATATAGTAAACCTATGCAAAGTCACACAGTTGTATCTATTTACAAATCACTTTTAATGGAGTGATTCAGCCTAGATAACTGCTGGTTAGGAAACCAAAGCAGCAATTTTATATTTTAACCTCAAAATCTTTTGAATTCAGTTTCTTAAATAATATTTATTAATGTGACTCCTTACTATTTTTGGAAGATAGCTTCATATTATGAAAGAAAAACCTTTGATTTTACATTAAACATTTACAACGTCTTAGAGACATAGTGTAATTATGGAATATCCTAGCTGGAGCTGGTTAATGTTTACCCAGTTACTGTAAATATGTTGAAAGCTTGACTTTAGGAGGAGATGGATGACAGAACAGGCAGAGAAATAGGTACTGTAGGAAATAAAATGTGGTCAAATCATCATACTTAACTATAACTTGATAACTATGTTATCTCAATACAAAGCAAATCAGCATAGACATAAGTAACTGTATGAACATTCAGATTACTGAGGTAAAATCGCACATAAACTGGAATAGCTCTCTATGGAGTTTTTTTTTTCCAGGCAACCACTGTGCAATATCCATAAATATAATATAACCATATAAATCTCTCATCTCATATGCCATAATAGTTATATTTAACATATATTTCTACTTATATTTTAGGTTTATAAGTAGAATCTAAATAGTTACTGTTTTAATAAGGGACAAACATAAAGTTAAATGCGCCGATCTTCGCTTTTTATCAACAAGTTAGTACTGTAGTTAGTCATTTTCAAAACCATTACTAATACCTGGTTTAAGGATTAAAATTAATTTTATATGCATAAGATCTAAGAACAAAATGCTTTTGCAGTATTAATGAGGCCATGAACCATGTTTCTTTGGGAAACTACTCATCTGGGGAAAAGTGAATAGTTGCCACATTGTTTTGATTAGTAAATAATTTAAAACAATCCAGGTACTGTATTGTTAATTATATACTGAAGACACTTCAGTAGTCTGTGAAATCAGACAGATTCTGAATTATATACAGTGAATAAAACAGGATTGACAATGTATGTTACAGTATTGAAATGGGTGAGCTGGGTAGATTGTTTCATTGAAAGAGGACTGAAGGTTACATTCTGATGAAGATAATGCATCTACAAAATATGAGGACTTAGTGAGATTTCACCCAGATGAGATGAGACATTTCCAAATGTATTGTAAATATAGAACACCAGTATTGTGAAAACCCTTTCAGAATCATTGCAGTCCTGATAAGAACCCTACCTGTCTTGCTTCTCTCCGTGTAAATATTCCTTCTGAATGCTGTGTATTTATAAAGGTTGAAAAGGGCAAACCATGTATAGATTGTGATTAATTGTCTGCCTTGTACTTTATGATGTAAATGTGTTTTTAAAACTAAAAACTTTAACTCCGCAAATTCTGTGACTATTTGAAAGGCCTAATCACTACTGTTTTTTGTGTGTTTGCGTTTAAGACAAATCTTAACAGCAGGACAAGTTTGAAAACAACAAAAAAATTTGTACAAGTGTTCTAAAAGGTACTTTCTTGTATATATCGTGCTAGCATGAATAAACTGTGGTGTGGATTTTAGTTGTAAATACATAGTTTTTTTTTCCTACTCACTTAACTGCTGTGACGTGGAATTCATTAACAATGTCTAACATTAAAGATTTGTTTTATCGACTCAGTTCTGTATCCTTTTGTTATTGTAAGATTTAATGAAGATGACTCTGAGTTTAAAAGCTGTTTTTAATGAATGGTCATCTCAAAATTCTTGTCCATTCTAAATCTCGCCCAAGCTAGTGAACATTTTCAAACTTGGCTCTAGCCATATCAAAAAGGAAAGTCTTGATATAGTAATGATACAGCTACAATATAACACTAATGAAAAAAAAAAGAGCAAACACAAATGTATTTATATCCCAGAGCTTGACATTGTTCATCTTGCAGGACTCTGGTGCAAACAGTCATGCTGAAGGCTGACACCTCCATTTATACAGCAGGTAATGTGTACTGTGTAAAACACAGGGCAATTTCAGTATATTGGCAGTAAGATGCCAGTTTATTTAACCTGGTGGTCCAAGTCGTTTTTCAGTTAATGCACACAAGGCATGTTAATGGCTAGTAGATCCATTAATAGATCCATTAATGTTAATGTTAACGGTTAATAGATCCTTCCATCGATTTTCTAACCACCTTATCCAGTACAGGGTCACCGAGGAGCTGGAGCCTATCCCGATAAGCAATGGGCACATGGCAGAATACACCTTGGTTCAGACACCAGCTTATCGCACGGCTCACACAGACACACAGAAATAAATACTGAAGTCAGGGACTCTCATAAATGTGCCTCATCATTAACCAGAGCGAGTGGGCCGAATCAGTTCCAGAACTGGGGTACTATCTGTATAGACTTTGTAAGTTTTTTCCATGTTCACATGGATTTCCTCCCATGGTCCAAAGACAGACTGATAGGTCAATAGGCTTCTAGGAATGTTGACCCTGCTGTGAGTATTGGCGTGTCCTTGTCTGTGTCTGTCTGCCCTGTCCTCTCCAGGGTGCGTCCTGCTTTGTGCCTGTTGCTTTTGGGGTTAGACTCCCCCGCAAACCAGAATTGGATCAATGGTTACAAAATGGATGGATAGATGAATGAATGATTATGTGTATGCTAAAAAAAGAAAAGCAGGGTAGGGAAAGGTAGCATGAAATGGTTCTAGAATGTTCTACACAAGCTATTTTAAAAATCATTCTGAAATATATAAATAAAAGTGCACTCTTCCATCTGGTTGTAGAAATAACGGAGGCTTGCAGTATTAAGATGGGTCTGGAAAACAGCATTTTCCTTATTTCCCTGGTGTACATGAAATGTCACAAATTAAGATATTTATCATGGTGAAGAAGGGCAGTGATCCCAGTTACTTTTCTGAAGGTTTTATGTGTTTTTATCTGAAAAAGATAGCACCTGGAAAGCTGACAAGCCGTTCAACTACTCCACGTAAAATAATTAGTTCAATCTAACATTAATAAATGCTAAAATTGAAAACCTACAGGACTGAACTTGGGAGTCTTTAGTATAAATCACCAGCTATTGAAAAGTAGTGGAACCCACTGCTAAAAAGCAGACACCTTTGAAGTTTTTACGCCATTCTTCTTTTGGTATTTTCAACAGGTTAAGCTGGTTTTCTGAAAACATAACGGTACCTTTACCTGTGTATTTTATTCTACACAATAGGTAAAGCACCATAAAGGACACGTGAGTAATTCTGACATAACAACGTTGTAATAATTAAGAAAAATGGCAACATATGTCATGGTGCATCCCCAAAATCAAAATTAGCAGAGAGCACGTATATGTTACTTGTATTATTTATAGTCAAGATTTCAAGAGCTGCTATGGGAGAAATCAAAAAGATATACCGCACAGACATTTCTTGCTTTTCTTGCTTTTAACAGGAGAGGACAGTGCACTGCTACAGTATATACCAAGGCACTAGCAGTCCAACACCGTCACCATATCACCATAAAACTAACGGAAATATGACCACAAGAACTCCACCTAAACAAAGAGCCTAGGAGGAATATTAATATTGCCTGGAATTTTCCAAAATATCCTACTTTAAACTCGTTCAGTGAAACTATATGTAAAAGAATAATTTTTTAAAATCTATAACGAGATCTTCTTTATGTGAGTAGCAACCCGTTGTAACCAACGCCTCGGATATATACGCTTGATTGCGTCATTACGCTCGAAAAGAGAATCGTTTTTTTGTCCAATAGGAGGTCGCCAACTGGACTCTGGCCCCCCGGAATCCATCCAGACCATCCAATCAAGATGTAGTTCGTGGAGCAGCCGTACTGCTAAACCAATCGAAAAGCACAAAGTGGAAAGAAGGGTGGTGAATGTATCCAAACGTAGCCAATGGTGCTACGCCTTGGGCGGGGTTTTGACGAGGAAGCTTTGTTGAATGAGAGCTGTGCGTGTCAGATGAAAACCGGCTGTGAATTGGGGAGTTAATCGAGAGGAAAGGCGACATTTAAAGTTGTGTGGCACACAACTAACGGTTAAGATGCTATGTTTAAGTGGTCTTTCGGTGGCTTTTGCGCTTGTACTAGTGCCGAGCAGTAGTGAGGCTTTAAAGGAAGGGGAATGCGAAGGTGAGTGTGTGTTTTTAATGATCCGAGTCGTTAAATGACTGAAACTCAGTTGGGCCTAACGTAGTTATGTGATAGTGATGCTCTTGTCCATGTTTACTTCAGGTCCTGTTTTTGAACGTTGTATGGAATTGTAAATGTCTCTTATGCCGTTTCTGGCAACTATCGGTTCAGCTTCAGTGTTTTGTAAAGGCTAGGTACGTACAGTATGTCCAATGGGTCGGGAGCCTAGGTTAACAGACCTGAAACGCATTGTAAAACTAAAGTATCAACTGCAGTCCATTTCAGAATGCCACACACCTACCCGAATACAATCAAAGCAGCAAAAGGTCATTATGTAACCACAGTAGCACTGTCACGACTTTCCCTTCAAATGTGTATACAGTATGGACTGGATCTATACTTTTGTTTCCATTAGTTGTTTCCTCTCGGGGACAGTTTGTACGCTATGTTGCACAGGTTTTAATTCAAGCTGACATAATTTGTTTGCATTAACTACACATTGATATACTTGAAATTGCGTTATATTCCGTACATGCTGAAGCCACGTGTATTAAGAAAAATCACGAATAGAAAAAATGTTTTCACTTAAATCAGGATCACCAGGATAACTAGATTCTATTCAATCCAAAATTAGCCTACTCTTGTAATGCCAGGGGACTGTACTGTATAGGATTATCTTACTAAAACATTACAGTGCCAGTGAAGAATTTAGCAGGATGCCAAAGCATTTTTCAAACTACTGACAAACTTTAAAGATAATACTTACTATTGTTTATCAATACGAGTCCTGCCATTTACACCCCATTAATTTTGTTCATGATCTTGTAGAACTTGCAAATGACCATTTTGAAGTCCTTGGGGATATTTTGAATAGGCAAGTTTGAGCTAAATGGGGAGGGTTTAGACAGTCTTAGCACTAAAAATTGGCAATAAAAACTAATGTCTAATACAGAATGTTAACCTCTTCCACTGTAAACCCCCTTTCAGTGATGTACTGTTGTCCATTTTAAGATATGATGTATGCTGTCATCAAACTTAAAGATATACAGTACATCAGACATGAGTATAGGTGAGGTTGAGTAATTCCTGTCTCTGAGGGCCGAATCCCTGAACATTTTAAAGGTAGATTTTCAGTTAGAGGTGCATTAGAATTTCTTACACAACTCATTTGGTGCTTTGGGCTTTGTACTGGTATGGGCCTTTGGATGCATGGATACACGTCAAATGATTTGTATTCTAAATAACGAGTACCTCATTTTCATGCTTTCCATATTTACCTCCATGTAAGTAAGCAAACTTTGTTTCTAGACAGCAGTGAGTTTCATTAAAAATTAGCGAAAATATATAGGCCTGTTCCTGGACTGTTTTAAACTTTTAAAACCCTAAAAAAAGGGATTGCAAAAACCGAAGGCCATTAAAACTTTTTACAGTATTTATACTTCAGTACTCTAAAACAATACAGGTGCAGTGTTTTAAACAGACAGACACTTGTGATATCTGGATATGAGTCTGTTAGCTTTTTAAGGTGTAACTGGAATTTGATCATGTTTAGTACAGTTAATCTGTTAAAATAAACCATGTGGGATGCTGGATTGCACTCAGGTGGAATGTGCCTCATGATTGTGATGCCTTTTTAACACGTGAATACAGAATCTAAGCTTGATAGAAGAGAAGTGATTCCTGCCAGCGATGGAGGTTAATGCTAAACTGCTTTTTAATCTACAGTGTGCGTCAACTTCCTGGGGAGGTTTTACCAGTCTCTGAAAGATACCGATGCAGAATTCACAAGTGCAGCTATTGAGAAGGCATTGATGAAAACATGTAATGAGGCCAAGGGAAAAGAGAACCGGCTGGTAAGTTAAAAGTTATGCTAAGGCTATTCTTAAACATTTCTGAGACCAAATATGGTACTGTTGAAGAAATTACTGAGTGCAGCGATGTATTGTTGAACAATGTTTGGATGGTGGAAATGGGTGTCGATTTCTAAGGCTGCCCCATCCAGATGGATAAGCAGACAAAGAAAAATAGTACATTTTGTGTTTTGTCATTACTGTTGTTTTTCCATTATGTTTGAGAAGCCTCCTTTATACAACCAAAATGTTTTCATGAGATTGAGAACTTCCCTCACATACAGTATCAAACATTACAAAAACTTGCACAAAGGACTCGAACGTTGGTGCAAACCTCTGTACGTACAAAGGTATTGGAACCCATTTGAATGCTGACACCTTGCCTGTTTGGGGGTTTTTCTAGTGTTACTACATTGGAGCCACAAGTGATGCAGCCACAAAAATCATCAATGAGGTTTCCAAGCCTCTGAGCTATCATGTCCCTGTGGAAAAAATCTGTGAGAAGCTGAAGAAAAAAGACAGCCAGATCTGTGAACTCAGATACGGTAAGAACATGAATCTAGGATGGTAGCACATGGAATTGGTGTTGTAATAAACTGTGGGCTTTTGTTTTCCTTTGATTTCTAGCAATTACATAATAGTAAAGCTGTGCTCCTTATGGTTTGAATTGTTTGGAATTGGAGCATATCCGTGAATCTCTTGCCATGTTCTTTTGTTTCTTTGATCATACACTCAAAACTATGAATAATTTAAATCTAAACAGTAAATGCAAATTGCCTGACTTTTATAGCAGTCAGATTACTTTGCAGCATTTGTGTAGATGACACTGTAGTTTTCCTATATGTGATCCTACCTTTTACCTTAAGCCTCTAAGATGCACATGAATTGAATAGTTTGTGAATCATTGGAATGCAACTGAATAAAACGGAGGTATAAGTTGGATCCATACTAAACATTTTGTGAGGTTTTAGTACAGGAATATGTTTGTCATAGATAAGCCCTATAAGCCAACCTCCTAAGTGGAAAATAGATCAGATAAAGTATTCCTGCATTCACAATGGCATTAAAAGTTAAAACCACTGGATAAAAAAAGCCTTGTTTGGAAAAGCACAAATGTTGCATTCTTCTGAGAGATTTTCTTTGGGGGTCTACCGATAATATCTTTGACCCTTGCTTTCTGGGTTTATCTAGATAAACAGGTGGACTTGAGCACAGTCGACCTGAAGAAGCTGAAAGTGAAGGACCTGAAGAAGATTCTGGAGGACTGGGGCGAGACGTGTAAAGGGTGTGCCGAGAAATCAGACTTCATCCGCAAAATCAACGAGCTGATGCCCAAGTATGCCCCGCATGCTGCCAAAGCACGGACAGATCTCTGATGCCCCTGCCTCCAGATGAGGATGAGAGATTTTGGGGTACATGGACCACCTGACAGACTGTACATTCCCATAGTTTTGAATGAAAGGGATAGGCTTTTTTATAATTTATTATGACAAAGGTATCTTCTATTTGGAATTGAAGCAAAAACTGGTTCTTCATCTTTGTTTTGACTCCTTGCTTGTATATGGAATATGTGCAAGATTTTTATTAAAAAAGAAAAAGGACAAAGAACCCTTGTTTAGTGGTGTCCATAAAATCTTTGAAATTTCTCACATTTCAATGTGTGTAGCTCATTTTGAAATCGTCTCTATTTTATGATGTTCTGTATTTTTTTTTTTCCCCGCCAGTTTCAACAGGTTTTCAGATTCTGCTTTATATAAGCTGCAAAGAAACTTGAATTCTACTGTAATGTGATAGCAGCTGTACATATGCTTGGAAATATACATACTGTATACTGCTTTTACTGAATGAGATTATAGTGTGTGTGGCTTGTGAAATTGGGCTTGGATGACCTACAGTAAAAAAACACAAGAAATGAGAGAAGTGAAGAAAATAATACACTTGTTATGGAAGCTTAATTTGTTGGAGCATAACATACAAACTAATTAAGTGAGAGAAGTAGACCAGCAAATTGACTTTGCGAAACCCACGGTATAATTAAATGATACATTAAAAATAGGTCTTTAGGTTAGAAGTTGTCAGCAGTTATAGCATTTATAATGGATTTGTGCAGTGAATTCCATAGATGGAGCTTTCTGGTGTATACCACATCATACGTTATTTGGGACTTGGCCTTCGGCTGAGTAAGAAGCCCCAAATCAGCAGATCTTCGGAAACAGTCCAGTTAAGAGTTGGACAATGTTTGTGCACAGAATCTTTAAAATACTCGAGAGATGGATCATACAGTGAATTACACTATACGTGTGCAGAAGAACCATGAAGGTCCCTCTGTTCTTTACTACGCGCCAGTGCTGTTCCCAGATGATGGGTGTAACATGCTGAATTAGTTGCATTAATAAAAAAACTTCCCATATTTTTTCCATACATATGCATACATTTGATTTTTTCTGTACACATAAAAAGTGAAAATGTAGAAAATGGTTATGAGTTGCTGTCATCTTGACAATCCTAATTTAAGCATACTGTATATAAGGTACATAAAAACTACTTACAAGGTTATGGCATTTCACAGAAGGTGAAGATGCTCTGAATTAACTGCTAATATTTATTACCATACACATTTTAATGGTTTAAATGAAATATTGCTGAGGCATAAAGTTAAATGGTAAGAAAACTGAAACCATTTTTTTGCCTTGTAAATAAGTCAAATCAGGTTTTGCCATATTTGGAGATATATTTTTTGGATACATATGAAAACCTGGATTTGTAGTCATTTAAAAAATCATCATAAAAAAAGTGTGTAAACTGGTGTTTTCTGCACTGCAGAGAAAATGCAAAAAGTATATACATAGAATATGAACATATTATTTTCATAAAACAAACCTATTAACTAAACTCCGTTTCTGTCTGCGTTACTAATTTACCATTGTGTAGAGTAGACTATACAGCCATGTATATTTGCTACAGATCATTCTGCATTTTTCTGTACACTGGAAACACATTTTTACTATAATCTGTTCATGAGATTCTAGATAGATTCTGACTTTGTAAAAAAAAAGTGTTGCCCATTTTTCACTAATCTCAATTCAAAGTGTTTTATCCCCAATTTGTTTTATGAACAATACAATAGAAACAGACAAACATGAACACAAAAGAACTCCAGTACAGCAGTGTTTCAGTAGATCAGTTATTTTACACTATTTAAAAGGTTGCAGAGTGAAGTCTTTTACTGTTATACTTGGAGAAAACTGTAAAAAGCTTTTAAATGCACTTTTTTTAGAGCTTTGAATGCAACAGCTACCAATGTTTGGCATTACATGTATTAAATTAATGATATACAATACAAATACTCATATATCAGTAAATTATTGTTTTGATTACTGTTTCACCGGAAATTACAGAATTACAAGAAATTTAGTGGATAAATCCGTTTTCAATAAACTTTAAAAATACTGCGCAAATAATTTTTATTAACAATTTTGTGACATTTTCAATAGACTGGCAGTGTTTTCTATTGCTATATGCACACGTGTCGTGCACATTCACCTGTTAATATAAGCTGTTTTGACAAATGGACAGCGGTCACATTTGGTATTTTTGAAAGGTAACATGCATATGGTTTAAGCAAGCAGTGTTACAAAGCAACATACAGTACCATGTTATTTCCACGGCACGGTATCTTTGTTGTACTCCTAACATATGCTGGTGTTTCAAAACACACGTTAATGAATATTTGTAATTTTTAATCCCGAAGAACGTTCACTATTAAAGTTTCTTAAATTCACCTTATGAAATCCTCAGAAAATACCAAAACATTTCACTACTAAACGTAGACCGAAATACATCTTTATGATATCAAATATTATTTTGTCTAGCATCATTTTATTTTTTTATGTCGAGACGACCGACGTCATCCATTTCTCTCGATAAACAGATAAATTACAGAAAAACATGTATCAGTAGATAAAGTTACTCTTGACCATATATATATATTTAAATTACCCCTCAAGCATAATAATTTCTTGAATTTCATTATAGCACTGAAGATATTACATCTTACCCATTGAGACGTTTGCCAAAAAATAATTTAACGTAGTCTATAGAAAAGTAAACGTACATTTAATTTAAAAATGGCAGGCTCCTTTAGTGCAATAACTTTCTGCGTAATATATTTATTGAAATGTTTTCCGAAATGACCCGAGGTGCAAAACCTGTCCACATTACCGCACACTTCCATTTCCCCTGTCACATGATGGGGGTGGCGTGTGATGTCATGGCAACTTTCCCCGGCAGCGTCGACGCCAGCTCCTCCCACCGGCGGAGCGCGCACATTCCTTTTGTCCAAGATGGCCGGTGAGGTGCAGGCTCACTGATGCTGATTTGTTTTTAATTTTTATATTTTTTTAGTCTAAATGAATGCATTTGCCTAGTATATAATTTAAGTGTTTTTTAAAAATATATATTTTTTTCGTGCGCGTTGCATTTTAATAAACGGAGTAAGGAGCTTAAGAAACCGATTTTCGGGAGGGCACACAAAAAAAGTTTGAACATCATTTGAAAAAAAACCATGAAGAGACAGGCCGAGCGGGACTCCAGTCCTGCAAGAGCTACAGCCAAACGGATCAGGGAGAGAGATCGGGACCGAGAGGGCAGTCGGAGAGAAGATGGCCAAGCGCCGCCTCTTTCTGCTCTGATCTCTGAGAGCAGAAATTATCACAAACATCAGGCCCGCAGCCGGAGCAGAGAGAGAGAAAAACCCAGAGTTAGAGAGGACCGCGGTACTGCTGATTTGCACCACCGACAGCATCATCATGACCTCGGGCTTAATAGCCGCCCCCCTCTCCGGACTACAGCTGCCCTCCCAAAGAGCAAAGTGGCCGCTGACGTGATTCTGAGTGGGGGTAGAGGAGGCAGTAGTTTGGAATACAAGACTTTGCTCATCAGTAACTTAGGCTCCCAGCTCTCGGATGAGCATGTGGAGGACGGGCTTTTCCACGAGTTTAAAAAGTTTGGAGACGTCAGCATCAAACTTTCCCACACACCGGAGCTTGGACGGATCGCTTATGTGAATTTCAGGCATCCCGAGGACGCCAAGGAAGCCAGGCATGCGAAAGGCAGGTTAGTGCTTTACGACCGGCCGCTTAAAGTTGAGCCTGTTTATCCAAGAAGGCGGAGCTGCACTCCCCCAGAAGTGGGCTACGTGCCTGTGCATGGCAGCTATCAGTACAGACAGAGGTCCTTGTCTCCAGGGGCTAGCAACGTCAGAGAGCCCAGACCAAGGCATTATGCAGTGGATGGACTCGGGCTGAGCAGAGAAAGGGAAAGGGCTCTAGACTATTATAGCATGTTTGATGAAAGGGGGCGATCTTACACATACCAGCTGCCTGAAGAGGATTTAATGCCTGAAGATGATCAAAGGGCGACAAGGAACTTGTTTATTGGCAACTTGGACCATAATGTATCAGAGGGTGAGCTGAGAAGGGGGTTTGAAAAATACGGGATCATTGAGGAGGTGGTGATTAAGCGGCCAGCTCGTGGTCAGGGGGGTGCCTACGCCTTTCTTAAATTCCAGAACTTGGACATGGCCCACCGGGCCAAGGTAGCCATGTCAGGCCGAGTCATCGGCCGGAACCCTGTGAAAATCGGCTACGGCAAAGCTAACCCCACCACCCGGCTTTGGGTAGGGGGTCTAGGTCCCAGTACGTCTCTAGCAGCCCTGGCCAGGGAGTTTGACCGCTTTGGCAGCATTCGGACTATTGATTACGTGAAGGGCGACAGCTTTGCGTACATCCAGTATGAGAGCCTGGACGCCGCGCAGGCCGCCTGCGCCCAGATGCGTGGATTTCCCCTGGGGGGTCCGGACAGGAGGCTCCGAGTTGATTTTGCCAAAGCCGAGGAGACCCGGAGCTACCCTCAGCAGTACCAGCCTCCAGTCCCTCTGCCAGTTCACTACGACCTCCTCCCAGACAGCTATGGCCGGCACCGGAGCCTGGAGCGAGACCTGAGGGCGCGAGACCGGACGCCACCTCACGCGCTCTTTGCTGAGCGGGAACGGGAGAGGGCTTTCCCGGACAGGGACTGGACCAGCCCTTCGAAGAGCCTGGACCGCCGCAACAACTTGGACGGCTTCGGCAGGGGCCGGGCACGCAGTCGCAGCCGGGAGCGCTGGGCAGGGGAGCGGGATGTCGAGCGGGCCCTCGGCAAAACATGGGAGGAGCGCCGCAAGCGCAGGAGCCTGTCCAGCGAGCGGCCCCTTGAGGACCGGGGGCGCCTCAAAATCCAGGGCGGGGGGGCGTCTCCTGACCGCAGCCCCGACAAGAGCAGTCGCAGGCCCTCCGATCCGGCGGCGGAGGCCCAGGACCGGGGAAGCTCCACTCCCGATGGGAGCCGTCACTCGTCAGCCGAGGACAGGCCTTCCCAGGACGAGCCCCCGCTGAACAAAAAGAAAGAAGCGGAACAGCCGGAGCGCAACCACCGGACCAGTGACGGCGAGCAGGAGTCCAGAGCGGAGGAGCCCAAATCCGAGACCAAAAAGCCCAACACCCTTTCTGAATTCGCCCAGACCCTGCCGGAGGCGTGGCGCGGCTCCCTGGTGCTCAAAAACAGCTGCTTCCCCACCAATATGCACCTCCTGGAAGGCGGTTCGGGGATCCTCAACGTCCTCCTGAAAGACCACGCCACGGGCGGAAAAATCAGCCAGCTGAAGATCGCCCAGCGCTTGCGGCTGGACCAGCCCAAACTGGACGAGGTGACTCGCCGCATCAAGCAGGGCGTCCCGGATGGCTATGCAGTGCTGCTTGCGGTTCAGGGTCCCCTCGACAAGGACGCGCCTCCCCCAGAGCCTGGACTGCAAAGACGCTTGCTCCGAAACTTAGTCACCTACCTCAGGAATAAACAGGCAGCCGGAGTGATTGGTTTACCTTTAGGAGGACCTAAGGACCGCGATTTCACAGGGATGTTGTACGCTTTTCCTCCCTGCGAATTCTCCCAGCAGTACCTCCACGCAGCCCTGAGGACTTTGGGCAAGTTGGAAGAGGAGCATCTAGTTGTTGTAATAGTCAGAGACTCCGCTTAAAGCCGTTTTTGTAGTGTCAAAGAACCAAGGACTGACTACAGGTTTTTAAAGAGCTGAAAAGCGCAGCTGGTTTCTTTTGTGAGAGAGTAGGGAAATGGAAGTGCTGCTACATTTTGTGAAACACGAATGAATGGAGGTGGGAGAGGGATTGTAGGCAACAGGAAAAAAATGACATTTTACAAACTGACCAAGGTATTTTAAAAAATAAATTGAATTAACTCTACATTCTATTAATAAAGTGTTAGCATTTCAGTTTCCTCATTGTTTTATGATTGAAAACTATTCCAGGAGGTCGAACTACTTGTACTTCTTTACAACGTTAAACTTCTTTTAAGTATCTTATGCAGGATTTGTGCAGGTGTTTCTGTGATCCAGTTTAATGGATACATTTCAGTGGCTTCAGGAAGAAATGTTTTGCCAGAATTGATTATTGTCTGAAAGTATTTTTTATTTCCCCGTAAGCATCACAGTCCTTTTGACAGAATTTAGGTCTTGGCAGTACTAATGTTATCTACCATACAGGAGGTTTTGTTTTGGTTATTCTAGAAACACATCCAGAAAAACAAAATAAAAAAGGTAGAGGGCAGAGGGTAGACTGTCTTCAGTTAAGATTGTAGCCTATTTCTGCCAAGTCTCTTTAGCAGTGCTCAATCTGCTGATTTGTTTTTTTACACAAACCAGGAGACGCACTTAGAGCATTGCACATTTTGATTTACTAGGTGCAAGATCAATTAATTTGTGTCTAATATTGAACTTTTAGAAGTGACAAGGTGCTCTTTGGATTAAGATCCTGGACTGTGTGCGGATCCCTGAGACTGTTTTGGATGTACTACTTAAGACCATGCTGCTCAGTCTCTTTCCTGTGGGTGAATAACACCTGTTGTCCTTTTCTACTTAGTACACTAAAAATCTCGTCCATGAATACTAATGAGAATTTGTGCTTTGTTAGTTTGTGCCCTACTTGCTGCATTCTTAAAACGGGCAAGGCTCACGAACTAGGATCAGTACAGTCTTAATTTATGTAAAAGAACTGTTAAACTTCAATGAATATGTATCTATTTTTTAAACCAGCTGCTCATGACTTAAAGGGGGCCTTTGTTGTTTTTATTTTTTTTAATGCTTTGTTATATTTTTGGGGGGCCATTGTATGTAACCATATTTTTTTAAGTCAACAGATATTTTACGATTTACCACCTTTTGCTGACTATGAAGAAAGGATAAATATGTCCTGACAGTTGATGAAAAATATTGGTTGCGTAAATCAGATGTCACAAGCGGACTCCTGTTTCTTCACTACAATGCTGTGAGGTAAATACTTAGAACCTCTCCAGGAAAAAAAGGAACTGTCAGAAGAAGCTATTGCCAATTGTGAAGTGTTGTTTTAGTCTTGAAGACAAACCATTTTCCGTTAAGTGACTTGCATGGAAGAGACTCTGTAGTCTCTTGTACCATGTCGACTTGTGCTGTTGTGCATTTTTTAATGAGTGAATGCTTTCATAAGCACACTTTTTTTCCTTATGCTTTTATAAAAGAGTGGAATCCTTTGTAAAGCAAAGACAGTACTGTTTTTTTTCTTTTACCTATGTATGATGTATGAAATAGTGTCAGTAAAAAATGTGCCCTGTTCCAATTTCACTTTCTCTTTATTTTAGTAATGATTAGGTATTATGTTTGACGTTCAGCCATTGTTGGCTGCTTACCAATGTACGTGTTTGATCAGAACATGAACTGTTTGATCTGACCATTTCTTTGGTCTTCACTGTCTTGCAAATGGGTTTTTTTTACGTCTGGCATACAATATAAATAAACATATGCAATATAGTTATGTGGCACAATCCACTTTTTAGTACAAAAAACATTTTAAAAGTCCTGTCTGTGTCATTTTGAAAGATCTTGGTTATGTGAACCAAGTGTTACATTTAGTGTGGTCACATTTTACGAATCTGGGTGTCCCTAGCCAGACAACAATTTTAGTTTCTTCTTAAGTATTTCTTTCTGATGTCCCACTTAATTGTTCTATAATGCCAATGCTTAAAGGTCGTTATAGTTGAATGAAAGTGTTGATTTATCTCCCTAAAAACACCCCCATTTGTATAGCTGTGTATTGCATTGTCTGAATAAGAGGGTGGTGGGTTCAAATCTCAGGTGGGCTCTTGATCGTGGTGCCTCATTCATATTGTTCCAGGAATTAAATGGGTCTTCAGGTCATCCTTGTAGATGATAACTTATTGAAATAAAGGAATTAAAGTAATGTTTACTCATGTAAATCAACTCAGATCAACCCTGGTTGTGTGGGGCAGATGTCTCCTCTGACCAAGCTCTTAATCAAAGGTCAGTTGCTTTCATTTTTCTATTATAGGTGTGGTTTTAAATCTTGTTTCGGATCAGGGTTTGTGATTGCTATCAGTCTTGTGTCAATTCCTGAATTTCAGCACACCCCTCATTCAGGAGTATTAAGTGGAAACAATTAGACATAAGCAAGAAGCAAAATTGAATTACTCTATGATTTCTACCTCTGATCATCATTGATCATAGATAAATAAAAAATAATGCAGCCAACATGTTAATTAAGTTAAGGAAAGACTGTGAAGTTATGGAAATGATATACTTTAGTGTATTATTGAAAGCAAGGACTGCAGGCAGAAAACAAAATCAAGCAATTACATTTATCATCCTTGGAGATGAATGACTCAGCTGGGGTGAGTCCAGGGGTCTCCTAGAACCAGGGTTCACAGCCACCAATGTTATTAACTGATGGTTTGCATACAGGTGGGATAAAAAGCAAGACAAATATGCAGAGAGATAGGTACAAAGTGTGCATGGGTGGGATTTGTAAATTCATTACTTGTAGTATCTTAGCAATTATCCACTGCACTGATCCTCTGGGTTATGTTGGAGCTCTTCCTTGTTGAAATCAATCCGTTGCTTAATTGGGAGAAGGTAAATGCTTTTCAGAGCTCTGTGCATTGAATGTTTAAGGTTATCTATACAATCTAAAAAAAATCGCTATCCAGGACCTGAAAACAGATGTAAATATAAAATAGCTGTAGGAAGCTTTGGGCATACAGTATTAGTGGCTATGAAGTTATTTAATTCTGATTCATCGCACTGAGAATACTCTGTACAATCTGATCTCCTCTTGCATAATTTCTTAACTAAGGTGCATGGTAGTTGTATACGGGAATAATTAAGAAACATGCACGGGTAACACTTCGTGTACAGTATGAAATCTGTGAGCTCGGGAAACGCAACATCCTTTATTTTAAAAAAATTCCGACTTGCGCTTAAATACATGAATCGCCTGAAATTGCAACAAGCTGCCAGGGGTTACTAGAGGTTTTCATAATGGAATTTGGTTTCCCGTTTCCTGTCAGTGACGAGCTTAAAAAAATGCGAATATTTACACAGGCATTTGCTTTTTTGGCACTTTGCTGTCAACGCTTTGAAAATGCAGGGAAAGGCGAGCTATTTTAAGAGTGCTTCAAATTCTGCCGTGGCGAGTCCGGAGCTGTCATCCTGCGGATAATTGAATGTGCGTCGTCCCTCTTAATTAGACTGAGATTTGCAGCTGCGCACTTCTTTTCTAACGATCTCCAGCTGCAGTCTTCAGCTGAGTTATTGCATTCTCCGATTAATGCGCATTGATGGTAAAACGCCAGTTAGAAGACCCAAGAAAGGGTAAAGAACGGGGGAAAAACTTTCGTACAAGCATTTGCACTAATTGTACAATTAGGTTGAAAGCTTAAAACAAATTTGCACGCTCGGGTGTGTTCGAAATACGCAATATTGTATTTGAGTACACCAATAATTTAACGTTTCATTTGGGATTTGCTGTTGCCAGATTAAAGAGTAGCGCTTTATTTTAACTCGAGAAATTTGCCGGTGCATCAGGTGGGTATTCAAATATTATGTGTTTTGTTAATACACTGCATTTGTCTGCGTTTTATCCAGTACCTACGGTGCCATAACATTAATAGCCTCAGTTTGGAATGATTTTCAAAAAGAAGCGAAATTGCAGAAATACGCATTTGAGGACTGATCAGAAAAATTGTCGGTGTAAGCAAGAGATGGGCTAGAACTTCAAAACTGGGCTTTTAAATCTTAAGTACAATTCGGTCTAGGAAGTATAATACAGATATACACGTGTGCACAGAGAATTTAAGATCTAGCAATGCCAATTCAGTCCACTCACATGTACTGTATTGCTCTTTGAGTGTAGCTTTAGCTCCAAAGACCTATAAAATTGAAGAGATGCCCTCTGTACATTAAGGTTTGCTGAATAAAATTTAACAACTGTTCTAGACGAAGAATATTTAAGGTAATGCGTGACAAGCCATCAACTTTTTGCAGATAAAATGCTGACTTCGCAGTTTTCCAACTGGGGAATTACTGGGGGAAAAAAGATATTCAAACTGATAAACCTTTTGATTTTTTTGTAAGAGACGCATTCAATGTTTTAATTGTTATAATGTTATAATTTCCCTCTAAGCTACACGAGTTTTTCATTTTTAAACGATTTGTTAAAAGCCGTCCGAGCTTTTTGAAATGTATTGCATAGCTTATGCTAGTGCATTCTATTTCCTGCTGACTAGAAAGCGAGTTATCTGGCAATTCTTGGATATATTTTGGATATATACTCTTGGATGAGTATTAAACTGATTAAGTCATTTCATTTTTTAGTATACAGTAGGTTGAATTTTATTAGCAGTCTTTATCTGATAGCTGATTGATTTTAGAATATGCAAGCACTTTTGACTAAATAGGAACTTAACTGTAAGAGCAAATGTTTCATCTTCAGCGTTTTGCGACATCTGGATGTATAAAGTATGAAATCTTATAAAGTATGAAGAGGCGATTTTCATAAACGCGATACGTGCGCATAAAGGGAAAACTTAATGAAACATATGGTAAAACATTCGTTGTCTCATATTTTTATTTCCCATACAAATACGTTTTAATTTTACAACCTTTTAATTCAGCTTCTTCGGTTAATATAAGGAAATTAGAAAACACTTAACGTCTCTACTGCTTCACTCTTACCACTTGATGTCAGTATAACACAGACAGGCGATTAACGTCTGCTTTTCTGTAGACGTGTAGCGTGATGATGAAGTATACTGAACATTGCTTTTCTGCTTTCTCCTATATCTGGGTTTTTTTATTTTTCTTCTGGATAACACACTGCTTTTGAAGAATAAAAGCCACTGATTACTTTTTAGTATCTCCTTTAATATATATATAAAAATCAGAACTGTAGGTCAACGAATCCAGTGTAAGTACATTTGTTATCATGCTCCTCTGTTTCTGCGAGTCTTGGAGAGCAGTTTGGAATGACCAGTTAAACCCAACATGCAGCACCTGGTGAAAATCCATGAACATGCAAACTCCACAGGATCCAAAGGCTTGTCACTCTGGGGCTGTGAGACTGCTTGTGCTAACTGCCATGCTTCTTATTTGTATTATATACATATTGCAGTATGAGTATTCTAGGGTAAAACTATATCACCGTGTTGCTCTACAGTGGCCATTTAGCATTTGTAAACGTAAACTATGAATCCAGCTGTTTTGTATGTCCCACCTACAGTATTTAAGCATGATCATTGACTTTTTCATATCCCAGATTAGACATTCTACTTACATATCCATCAAATTTTGCAATACAGAAACTAAATGTCTACTGTTGTCAGTTCTGCTTGACCTCTGAAAAGCGGAAATCTACACCACCCTAGCTCTCGTTTTTCAATGACAGGTGATATTTAGCGCCATACAGTAGCTCTCATTTGGCAATGACAGGTGAACTTTTAAAAATGTTTGTTCTGACAAAGTACATAATCCACTTATTTTCATTCCAAATAGACTTTATATTATTTCAAATAGTACTTACCAGGTAAAAGAGACTTTCTGATAATGGAAGGATGTATTGTTCTTCTAAGATTTGTTTATAAGACTGTACATGTATTTCCAGATGATTTAAGTGTGTAGGGTTCCAGCAAAGTCATTGGAAAGTTATTTTATGTAATTAACCTATATTTCATTTGGTAGCATGACATAAAAGGTTTATTTTTAAACACTTTCCAATTACAACACTTCTAGAAGAGCAACTCATGGCATGTCTCCAGCATGCTGTACAATTATACTTAATACATGTTTATAAAGTATCCATTAAAAGGTGTAGCTTGACTTTTTCCTACCCATCTCTAATTGTGTTTTTTTAATCAAGGATTAAACCACCTCTGCCTTTTTTTCTCTCCTTCCTCTGATTGACATAACACTTAATTGATTTAGGTGTTTGTGTGTAAGAAGACAACGAAGGC